CGCGCGAAGCGCGGAAGCTCTGACGTTTCATTAAATTATTAGAGAAAGAAGACGATTCGTTGTACCGTTCTCTACTCTTAATCCTGAATTTTCAAAAATAATATTCGATTTATTGTTAAACAAGATTTCGATTTTTTTTAGGATATCTTCAGAAATGAGCATCATACATGTGATAAATATATTGACGTTTAAATCAACCAATCATCAACCAATCATCAAACAATCAGCATTTCATCATATAAGATTTCCATAATTGCTAGTAGGAAATATTTTAGTTGTTATTTGCCACATTATGACTTATTTCTGGTATGGGAGCGGGGTTGTATCTACATACTGGCTAGCAATTCCTACGTTCTCCTCAGCTGCTCAAAGTAGAATCCGCCTGGACCTCTGTGACGAACAGAACTTATCTAGAACTTCATCGCTCGAAGGTGTTTCCTTTCTGTAAGTCTGAATAAGGAGTAAAGCTTCCAGCCTGTCCTCCCCCATTGATGCTCGTATTGCTGTTGCTCTTCTCTCCAACGTTGAAAAAGTTCGGTTAGCCTGGGCTGTTGTGACTGGCAGGGTTGCCAAAACCTGAAGGAGCAAGTAGATGTTGGGTAGGGTTATCTGTGAACACTCTTCCAGTGCAAGAACCGCTGTGTTCACAGCTTTCTTCTCCCCTGCTTCTGTATTACCCCATCTCTTTAGCCATATAGCAAACTCGCTTTCAAGACAGCTGATGTCGATCATGCTCTCATACATCTCAGCTGCAGGAAGCACATCTTCATAGGTGCTGATGTAGGCTGGAACTAGATGCATCAAATGCATTATCTTTTTTTGTGTGGGACTGAAGCGGTCTTGTAGATGTGTCACAATATTGTCGATGAGAGGGAGAAAGACATTCAGTTTGTAGTACTCTTGCGTCGAATTCTGAACTTGAACTCCAGAAGTGGCATTGGAACGATAGACACTACGGGATGCAGTCCTAGGGCGCTCCACTGTGACATTCAAATCATTAGCCATCTTCTCAGCATTGGCAAACAGACTGTCAAATGTGTCATCGTTCCTCCATGACATTAGTACATCTGTAGCATCTTTCACCAGTGTCACAGCTTCTAACAGATCTAGGCCGACAGACTGCATACCTCTTGACGCTGGGAGGAGGATTCCGCTTACCTTCGCCAGGATGTGAAGAGACACCAAGAAGTCAAATGAAGCGATGGCTCTGAGAAGACTTGCAGCATTTCTTCTCGCTTCTGGCATTTGCCATCCCGTCATATTCTCCACCACCCGAATGACATATGGCAAGAGAGAGAGGGTGTTTATAACAGCCTCGTGTCTTTCTAGGAATCTCGTCTGGCAAAGAGTTTTCAGCCTTCGTCTTTTTCTTCCATTTTCTTCCTACGTCCTCTTTCTTTTTTTTCTTCTCTCTCTCTCTCTTGCCATATGTCATTCGGGTGGTGGAGAATATGACGGGATGGCAAATGCCAGAAGCGAGAAGAAATGCTGCAAGTCTTCTCAGAGCCATCGCTTCATTTGACTTCTTGGTGTCTCTTCACATCCTGGCGAAGGTAAGCGGAATTCTCCTCCCAGCGTCAAGAGGTATGCAGTCTGTCGGCCTAGATCTGTTAGAAGCTGTGACACTGGTAAAAGATGCATGCTACAGATGTACTAATGTCATGGAGGAACGATGACACATTTGACAGTCTGTTTGCCAATGCTGAGAAGATGGCTAATGATTTG